AGTAGAGACGGGGTTTCACCATGTTGACCAGGATGGTCTCGATCTCTTGACCTCGTGATCCACCCGCCTCGGCCTCCCAAAGTGCTGGGATTACAGGCTTGAGCCACCGTGCCCGGCCTCCTTTTTTTTACTTTTTAAAACGGAATCTTGCTGTCGCCCGGGCTGGAGTGCCGTGGTGCAATCTTGGCTCACTGCAACCTCCACCTCCTGGAATCAAGTGATTTTTCTACCTCAGCCTCCCGCGTAGCTGGGACCACAGGGCACACCATCACAACTGGCTAATTTTTTGTAGTTTTATTAGAGATGGGGGCTTCATCATGTTGGCCAAGCTGGTCTCGAACTCCTAACCTCAAGTGATCTGCCCACCTTGGCCTCCCAAAGTGCTGAGATTATAGGCGTGAGTCACCGCACCCAGTCTGGTTCTAAACTCTTTAATTTCATTCCTTCCTTTGTGGATATTTTAATGAGGCTGCCTACATTTTACAGATAAGAATATCCTGGCACAAAGAGGTGGCTGTGTTTGCCCTTGATGCTTTTTTTTTTTTTTTGGGATGGAGTCTTGCACTGTCGCCCGGGCTCAAGTGCAGTGGGACTCACTGCAACCTCTCCCTCCCAGGTTCACGCGATTCTCCTACCTCAGCCTCCTGAGAAGCTGAGGTTACAGGTGCATACCACCACGCCCAGCTAATTTTTTTGTATTTTTAGTAGAAACGGGGTTTCACTATGTTGGCCAGACTGGTCTCCAACTCCTGACCTTGTGATTCTCTGCCTCAGCCTCCTAAAGTGCTGGGATTAAAGGCGTGAGCCACTGCGCTCAGCCGCTTGATGCATTTGCTAAGCACTTACAGTATGCCTGGAAGGCATGCCCTCTTCGACCACACCGTTCTACCCCACCCTCTTCAGGTTCGTTTCCCTAGCAGTCCCAACCCTGCCTTCTCAGACACCCATCCCTTTTGCTCAGGCGCAAAGTCCAAACACGCTCTCTGGCTATTAGGGTCCGCCCCCAATAGGCTGTGTCTTTCCACTGCGGCTCTCCACACGCTCCCAGGCTGGGCACACCCAGACTTGCCTCACCTAAGGCTGCCCTGGCCCCTTGAATAAACTGTGAGGAGTGGGCATGGTCTAAGGAGCGGGGCTGGCTTGGAGGGTGCTGTGGGGTGCTCTGCGATCCCATGCCTTTGGGATTATTTTGTTGCTAGGAACAGGAACCTCCTTCAATTAGGTTAAGCGAAGAGGGACTTGAGCGTGCAGGACAGAGAATGTGTGCAGCAGACAGTTGCAGGCGACATGGCCCCTGGGGACCCCAGAAACTGGCAGGCAGCTCCTCCTCCGGCTTTCCTCTCTGTGGGCTGCAGTTTCATTTTCTCGCCTCTCCCAGGGCATCCGTCCCTCCTTTCCCCTACAGTCTCGTTCTTGGGTTGTGAGCATGGCTGCATTGAATGGAGCTGCAGCCTGAGTCCATGGGACCCCCAGTGGGACGAGACCCCCAGTGAGAGTCTCTTTCATCTTGGGGTGCAGAGAGATACCGATTGGTCCAGCCTGAATGAGGAAGCCCACCCACCTCTGCTCAGCTGGTGGGGGGGGCAGGCCACGTGGTCTCCGGGGCTGAGGGTGGGAAACAGGGCTGGCACAGCCGGGATAATTGGCCGCATTGATGATGAAGGTTGCGTGCTAGGTGAGGACTGGTGAATCTTGGCATTCATGGAGCCCACGATCTGACGGGGGAGGCAGACCCATGGTCAGTTAGCCATTGTGCCACAGGACATGGGACTGATCACTTGTGGTGTGATTTGTTCCGAGAAAGCAGAGCACACACTTCAGGCCAGTGGGGGAAGAAGAGGACAGGTGGGATGGCCAGGGCTGCCTGTCATTAGCGTCCCCCAGCCCTGACCTGGGACAAGAGGAGGCTCTCTCCTCTCAGGACCTGGAGATTTAGGTTCTATTGGCAGTGTGGGACTTATGCTCTTTTTTTGGAGACAGAGTTTCGCTCTTGCTGCCCAGGCTGGAGTGCAATGGTGCGATCTTGGCTCACCGCAACTTCTGCCTCCTGGGTTCAAGTGATTCTCCCGCCTCAGCCTTTCCACTAGCTGGGATGACATGTTTGTGCCACCACGCCTGGCTAATTTTGTGTTCTTAC